CCTGCTGGCTCACACTCACCCCAGCTGTTTTCTTGGCTCTGCTCAATTCAGTCTGGGGTGTTATTGGATTTACACCCAGTCAGGTGTGTGGTGTAAGTGGTGAAAATATCAGGAAGACCTGTTATGGTTAGGATGGAGCAGGAAACAGAAAGGAAACCTTGCAGGACATAAACTCTTAGGTAAACCTGGCATCTGGTGCAGCCAGAGGAGCTCATTCTCTGCAGGGTGGTGCTGTTGGGGCAGCAGCCTTGCTGGGAAGAGAGTAAAGCCTCAAGTCAGCAAAACCAGTTAACTGGTGTGTGGTGGAAGCCGTCCTCAACACCACAGAAAGGAGGGAGGGAGAAGAGGACAGGGCTGGTGCAGAGACTGAGGTGTTTAAGGGTGGTGAAACGCTGGAGCAGGAGCCCCCGAGGGGTGGTGGCATCTCCATGCTCAGAGAGATTTGAAACTTGCCTGGGGAGAGGCTTGAGCAACTGATCAGGTCAGACCTGCTTGGGGCCGGAATTTGGGCTGGAGACCTCCAGAGGTCCTTTCCCAACCTCAAATAGCAGCTGGTTCTTTGAAATCGGTTAGCGGCTGTTTTGTTGGGGTTGGATTTGTGTGGCACTGGACAGGTCATGTCGCTTCTCCGCCTGTGTTCTTACCAGCTTAATAGCATTAACTGTCCTGCTCTGCAGGCCTCTGAAGATAAAGCGTGCTAAATACTGTGAGATGTGTGTACCACTGTAAGGATTGTACGTGGGGGATGTCCCCCATGAGAACTTGCATAAAGATCTGGTTTTCAGAAGTGAGATGTTAAAAGGCAGAGAAGGAGCTGCCTGTTACACTGCAGAGCTCAGGAGGCTGAAACAAGCAGGGACCCTTTGGAAAACAAGTTCCAGCTTAAGGAGAAGTAGTAAAGAGGCACAAGTTTCTGGGTAAAATTAAATGTGGTGAGAAAAACACCAGGTTTTCTTTCAGTTCCCTTCCTGCTAGGGATGGCAAGCACGGAGTTTGGCTTTGTAGCCAGGGTTTAGAAGATGCTGTAGCAAATGGAAAGATTTCTGTGTACTCTTAACCCAGAGGATGTTTGTGGCTTTTACTCTGGGTAATAAGGCTGAGGGTTGATGCCTGAAAAGGAAAGAGCCAGTATTAGGACGCATTCCTTGGTTTCTTCCCAAGAGATTGCTGTGTGTCTCCAAGGCAACCGGCCAAAAACAAGGGTTCTGTTTTGTAGATATGTCAGGCTTTTCAGAAACTCGGTTTTGGCCCGAATTGGGCAGAGGCAGACACTTCCTGTCAGCTGGATGCTGCGGTTCTTTGGTAAAACCAACGTCTCTTTCTCTTCTGGGGGTATCAAAATCAAACCTGGTGCTGGTTTCAGTGAGCAGCGACCTGGGTGCTTTTGAGGTGCTCCTCTCCAGGCAGAGCTGCCGGATGAGCCCACCTCGAGCTGGGCATCTTCCTTCCCAAACCTTGCCTTGGGTTTCAAGTCTTCAGGTATGCTCCAAGCTCGAGAAAGCGGTGTTCAGTGAAACTTCCATGGCTTGGAAAACTTCATCCGCTTGCCGGTACCCAGGTACATCTCCTGCTCTGGCGGGGGTTGGACTGGATGATCTTTCGAGGTCCCTTCCAACTCCTAACGTTCTGTGATTCAGTGATACCCAGCAGGATCTGGGTGAGATGAAGAGCAGGTCCCAGGTCCAAGCAGCCCAGAACATCACGTTCCTGGTCGGCCGGTGCCTGTGCGTGCACTCAGGGCTGACGATTTATGAGGAGGGAGCGAGGCCGTTGCACCGATTGTTCTGCTGGTTCTTTCTGATTGTGTTTTGCTTCCAATGCGGAAATTCAGCCTCCCTTTTCCGTCCCGTTGCCTGCCTGTGGCAGAGGTGCCAGCAAAATGGAGCTGACTCAGTCCACGTCCCCCGGTCCACATCCTCTGGGACAGCGTGGGAGTGGGTTCAAATACAGCAGTATTTGCTGTTCAAACACAGCTGCAGTCTGCGTGGAGGAGGCTCCAGGCCCTGCTCTCGGCTGCAGGACCGAGCTGTGCTTGTGCCTTTGCTGTGGCCTGCTGGTGTTCACGGCATGTCAGGAAAAATAGCTTTATTTATTATCAAATATGTGAGGCAGCTGTTTGGTTTGGGGTTGGAGCTGGATTTGAGCTGATGAGGGGGAGAGAGAAATGCTGTTCCTGTGTCAGAATTGGGTTCCCAGCTCTCTTGTGCAACTGGAGCTGCTGTGGTGGGACAGTGCTTGTTCACCCCGGGCTGCGAAGGTGAACGTGGGGTTGTGTGTGATGGGGCACGATCCAGACCTGCAGGTGGAGGGCAGAGCCCCAGCTGTGCCCCTCCTGGGGTCCGAGCCGCCCATGTGGGCAGGGAGTTTGAGCCCTTGTCCTCCCAAGGTGTTAAGATGCCCTTCAGGACTGTTCAACTACTCCAGGGCTGTTTTGAGAGCTCTCCAAGTGATATCATGGTTAGCTCAGATAAAACGAGGGGGTGTGACTTCAGTTTGAAGACTTTCAAGACTTTGAAACTTGAACGTTTGCAGCTTTGAACGGATGTGCTGCGTTTTGGGCAGGGAGCTGTCGGCTCTGACGGTGAGGACAGGATATGAGCCCTACTGACCTTGATCCCAAACAGGGAGTGGGGAGAGGATGCAGAGCGCTGTTGGTGACCTCGGTGCTCATCTTCGTACTCTGTTACTGCAGCAGAAGTAAAGATACTTCGGGCTGATAGCAGCCCCAGGAGGAAGGGAAGGCTTTGCTGCAGGATGTGGACCTTTGGGATCTGGGAGGATAAAATCTAGGTCGGCTGAGCTGCCTAGAACCAATCTTGGTTTGGTTACCTGCCAGAATTACATACAATAAAGTTGTCAGCAAGATAGAAATCTAGGTTTCTGTAAAACACGTGACTGGCGCGTTGGAGCCAGGGATTGGAGAGGACAGCAAACTGCTGAGCCACACGAGGTCCTGAGAAGCAGTTGTTGGGAGGCTGGACTCTGCCATGAAGGTCCCGCACGTACAGGATTTGTCCCAACACTGCTCCTTCCTGCTGTCCTGTCACTCCTGAAGTGCATCACAGTGCGTTTGTCCTCTCCAGGACCTGGTATCTCCCAGGGATCCTGCAGGAAACGTGACTTTTGGGCATGCCACCCAAAGTCCTGTAAATGGCAGGACCCGGGAGCCAACAGATGTAAGCTTGTTGGTAGTTTTAATGTTTTTTGTGTGTCACGGTTGGCAGTTGGAGTGCTGGAAGGTGATGAGCTGCAGCCTTGTGTGAACAGGGCTTACCAGAGAGCAAGGTTGGTGGGATCCACAGCACTGGAGTCGAATGCTGTCCTGCTTCTGCAAAATCGCCTTCAAACATGTTCAGCTTCAGCTGACCTGCAAAATGTTCCAGCTTATTTGGACTTATCTGGTCCATTTTCTAACCTTTTGAGCTGTGTAATGCCTGAATATGGCTTCCAGCCGTCCACTTAAATGGCTGTTCGAAGTTATTTTAAACATCCCTCAGGTTTTCATCGCGGGCAGGACCAGGCAGCAGTTCTGGTGGTCTGTCCTGCAGAACTCCTTGCTCTGGAGCTCTCCATCCCTTCAGTTCTGCTGGAGATGGAGAGAACCTGGTGTAGGCTCCTGATGCTGCCAGGGATGAACGCTTCCTGCTGCCCAGACCTGTTTGGAGCAAGTCTGCACAGTGGGGAATCCAAATACCTGTGACTGCCTGAAGTGTATTTTTACAATGTATAACACAAGCAAATTAACCACAACACAGGTAAATTAACCTGGCGGTAGAAGCAGA